CTTTTTAAAAATAAAAGTCAGTAGGGGAGCTTTTTAACCTCCATAGTCAGTCTTTCAGGAATCTTAAAGGCTACTATATTTGAGCAAAAGTTTCCAAGAGAGCCAACAGCATGAAGCTGCAGATAAGCTTTATCCGCAGATTTGAGACAATCAGACTTGCAGGGCAATCCTGAAGCAGTCAATTTATTTATTTACGTACTTAGAAAATGTCTATACTGCCTCTCCAGATAGCCTGCTCCAGGTGGCTTACAGATTAAAACAATAAAAACACAAACCACTGTTAAAGTTGTTACAATGAACTATTAAAAACCCAGCAAGAAGATAAAACGGAGCAATTTAAAATGAGCCTAGTTCTCAGGCTAGAAACAGACTGGTCCATTTAAATCAATGTGCCCTGTTTATATCGTCCTGTTTACATTGTTCTGTTACCCTTCTATGGAGACTAACTCTGTTTACATTGTCCTGTTATGCTTCTATGGAGACTGGGAAGCGGTTTGCCGGCTAGAGAAAAGGAATTGTCCCTTGTTAAAAGAGATTTACATTTTTCTGCTGGCTCTACAATTCATCACCTAAAGGGAATGGTCCATACCCACTCTGATGGGACTCTTTTGATTGAATCTTGTCTTCATGTGTGTTTTGCATACGCCACTGGAAAAACATTCTATCCTCCATTGTAAGCGAAGTTATCAAATTCTAGATTTGTTAATAGAAATGCACAAGGCAACTGTATTACACAAAAAGATAACTATTCTCCTTTTCACATATGGTTCTTTCTGTAGGCATTTCTTACCCTAGCATTCATGTCGTATTGGGGGAGGGGGGTCCACACTAGCTGTTTAGCATGGTAATTTTTGGTGTTAAATCAAACAATCCAGGTAAGAAGGTTGGCAGTCCATCACATTCCGGATACTTTGGTGGTGTTGTCCAAAGATTTGCTTTTTCAGACCTGATTTGTGGTGATTATTTTAAACAAAGCAGTTGCAAGTCTAGGCTATTCCATATGGGTAGTCACTAGCTGACATAGATGGACTATAAGAGGAAAGCAGTCAATCCCCCCCCCCGCCCGCCAGAATTGATAGTTAACCATTGATTCATGGGTCCCTCCCTGAGAACTGCCTAACCCCAAAGAACAAGAAACAACTAGGCTGGAAAGAAAATTGCTTGAATAGCAAAAAGGGGCTTACTTACTTACTTCTGAAAAGACATATAGTAGATCACAATGACAGATTTTTATTCAGACTCTAGCACTACATTAAGTGCTTTCAGTGGTACAAAAGTCATAGAGTGGAAATTTACCATAACTCATAATTCAATCCCATTGTTCTTAGTGGAATTAACTCCTCATGGGAGCCACTGTCAGTCAGTGTAGCAAACACTGAGATGGACCGATGATGTGATCTGGTGTAAGCACAGGTGAAAGTAAGCAGGTAGAGGCTGATGTGGAGGCTTGGCAAGAATGCAGCAAAATTATATGGACCGACCATTTGCTTCATTCCCCTCCTCCCGAGTGAAACAGTACAGGTAAGCAATGTTATTTATTTATTATTTATTTATTAATCAGATTTATACCCCGCCCTCCCCCGTAGGGCTCAGGGCGGCTAACAGGCAAAAATATTTGCAACAATAAAACATAGTTCTCAAAGTTAAAAACAGTAAACATTTAAAACCAATCCTAATACAAGTTAATTTAATTTAAAGTTCTCGTTGATCTTCACATCCGAAAACTCCAAAAGATGACGGTCCAGTCCAGAGGTTCCCCAAAATCATTCGATGGTTTATTCAATCAGATAAGTAAGGTGTTTAAATGTTCAAAAGTTCCAGTATTTCCGATGTTTCCTTCCTTCCCAAGGCCTCTTCCACCCCCCATGATGGAGGGGGGGGGGCGGGAGGCGGCGGCCCCTACTTGAAGGTCTGGTGGAAGAGCTCCATCTTGCAGGCCCTGCGAAACTGCATCAGGTCCCACAGGGCCCGGATCTCCTCCGGGAGCTCATTCCACCAGGTAGGGGCCGCCACCGAGAAGGCCCTGGTCCTGGTAGCGACCAATTTTGCATCTCTGGGGCCCGGTACAGTTAGTAAGTTTTGGGCCCCAGACCGTAGTGCTCTTGGGGGAACATACGGGGTAAGGCGGTCTCTCAGGTTCAGATGGGTAGCTATGTTGGTCTGAAAAGCAATAGAACAAAACAGAGTTCAGTGGCACCTTTAAGACCAACAAAGTTTAATTCTAGGTATAAGCTTTTGTGTGCATGCACACTTCTTCAGATACATTGAAACAAGACTTCCTCAACCATTGCATATACCTCCAGAGAGGGTAGGGGGTGGTTACTTGCCAGGAAGGGCTAATTAGAGTCAAGATGCATAAGTAACTGAGTGATAAATATAGCTAAGATTAGATTAAAGCAGTTGGTAAAACCTGTGAATAGCAGCAAAATAGCATACGGATAATAAAAGAATTAACAAACAAGATGTGAGAACTAACTTTGAGTTCAGTGGCAACTTTAAGACCAACAAAGTTTAATTCTGGGTATAAGCAAGAATGGAGTGACTTAACATGTATAGTGAGATAATCTCTGTTAAGCCCTGGGGTTTCCATTGACCTGAGTGCTGTAATAACTTGTAATTCAGCAGTCTCCTGGTCCAATTGGTTTCTGAAATTCGTTTGTTACTGTTGGCCCTGGGTATAAGGCAGCTTTGTATGTTCAGGATGATAATTGCGATATGGCTAAGAGAATAAGCTATGATCATGGTGGGCTCCTCTTCAAATTTCCTGCTTGGCCCTCTGCCATAAACTGCCTCAGTGGTCTCCAATCCATTGTCTCACACACATATACCCATCACTTTTGCAATATGGGGATAATAAAACTGTCATACCTTCCAGGGTTGTTGTGAGAATCACAGGAAGTTAGTGTTTGTGAAGTATTTGGAACCAGGACAGCACTATATAAACATTAAATATTAGTATTACAGACCCAAGTAGGGGGGCTGGTCTCCTAACCAAAGTAGGGGAGGCAGTTTGGTGTAGAGGTTAGGAGTATGGACTCTAATCTGGGAGAACCAGGTTTGACTGCCCACTCCTCCACATGCAGCTGCTGGTGTGACCATGGGTCAGTTACAAGTTGATTCAGAGCTGTTCTCTCAGGAGCAGTTCTCAAAAGAGCTCTCTCAGCCCTACGTACCTCACAGGGTGTCTGTTTTGGGGAGGGGAAAGGAGATTGTAAGACGCTCTGAGACTCCTTCAGGTAGTGAAGGGTGGGGCATAAATCCAATCTCCTCCTCTCCCTCCTCTTCTCAAAAAAAGTTCTTCATTTGTGTTTTGCCAGTCCCTTTTCTCTTTGCATGCCTCTTTGATGGCATAACAGCACTTGTGGGACAGCAGGGACTTATCACTGACTCCTGACATAAGGGATTTAAGAGATTAACGGGTCAACACGGCACCTTGTTAAATTGCTCTCCAGTTATCACATGCTGAGACTGAACTCAGTCACCTGGGGGCGTTGGGTTCATGCCAGAGGGGGGCTGTTGTGTCCAGGAAAATTCAAGGCAGTTCCGCTAGAGGAGCAGACAAGGCCTCTTGATGGCTCAAGAGCTGTGTAAAAAGCAAACAACCCAGAAGTACTTTGGCAAGTTCAAGGTAGGGTCTGCAAGAACAGCTGTCCTTTGGGAGCCACATGGTTTGCTTCCTGCGTGGGGACATCAGGACTTGGGTGGGTCAAGAAATCCTTCTCCACAAGTGGCCTGGCCCTTGAAGCAAAGACACGCCTTTCTTGAAACGTCCATGGGTTACAGTCAATGTTGTCAAATATCTATCATTTGTCTGTCTGTCTATCTATATTTGTGGCTAGCCCTGCTTCTGGGGTGGAACTCATTTTTCTGGAAATAACTTTATTTAGAAACCTAGAAGAGATGAATGGGAGATGTCAATCAGCAAGCAGTGCCAGGGCAAACATCCTTGCAGGCCAGACAAGCGTTATACCCCTGACATCAGATGCTAGAGACAGGCAAACCTCCATGTCTTATTTGTAAACTTGGTTGGTGGATGCTGAAGACAGAATACTGGAATAGATGGACCTGCTAGGACAGATCCAGCAAGTAATGATATTTGCAGCACTGGTTAAGAATGGAGCATCCATGTACTGATATTGTATACCTCTGAACACCCAATGCTGAAGCCCAAACCAGTGGAAACTCGGCCAGCGTTCCTCCATGTTTACTTCTACAAGTGCCGTGACCATCCAGAAACATCGGAGAGGTTGATTTTAAAATATGGTGCTCAGTGAAGCTGCTCAAGCAGATCCTGAAAGGCTTTTTTTATGAGACAAGAGATAAAGAAATGAAATCTCTATGGGAGACAATATATCTCAGAAGCCTGCTTGCTGGGGGCAAACCACAGGGAATTGCCCCCCCACACACACCTTTCATGCCCTCCTTGCTGAGGCATCTGGCCAGCTATGCTTGGAAACAGATTGTTGGAGCAGATGGGGGAACAGAAAACCAATGGTCCACCTAACCCAGTATCCTGTTTCCAGTACCCTACGGTTAGGGAAACCCACAAGAAGGGCCTGCTAACCAGTTCAATCCAGCAGGCCACTTTTTTTGTTTTTGCCTTCTTAGACGAGATAGCTAGTAATGGATCCTCCACGTACAGAGGCAGCATTCCTCTGAAGACCATCCGCTACACGGGCGGCCTATCCCCTTCCGACTTTCCTTTCATTGGAGGCGTTTGCAAACTAAGGCCGTTGGCTGGCGTGTTGCCCTCTGCTGCAAAGTGACGGCTAGACTCGAAGGGCCAGTTCGGCAGGAGGGTACACTGAAACATCGTTACTCCCTCGTAAGCGTGCAAGGCCGCTGCGTACTACTGACACCGCGTGTCACGTAGCAACTCGGGGCTCCCTCCTGGGGATGTCGCCGGCACAGCGGCCGCCCCGCCCGGGCTCCTCCCCCGGCTGCATCAGCGCCTCACGTGAGTCGTTGCGAGCAGCTGCCGCGGTGGCTGGACGGTCGTCAGTCCGGGGCTGGACCTCCTGGCGCCTTCTCTCTCCCATGGCGGCGCCCCTGATCCCGTGGCTGCTGCTGCTTACCTTGCCGGGCCTCTTGCAGGCCGGCCTTCCCCCACCCTTCCCCCGAGCCGGCTCGGAGCCCAGCCAGAGCTGTTCGGTGGTGCTGGACCCAGTATCCGGGCAGCCCAAGGTCGCAAGCGGCTGGGATCCCGAAGCGGTCGCCTGGGCCAACCTCACCGACAGCATTCGGAGCAACGGGTAGGTCGAGGGGCGGGCACGCACACTTCATTCAGAGCAAGCCGTTATTGAAGAGTGTCCCTGGCAACGATTTCAAGACTCCGTTTTTTCCCTTGGTTGTAACAGACGCAGGGAGAAAGCCTAGACAGCTCTGCTCAAAAGTAAGTCCTGCTGAGTTCAGTAGGATTTATTCTCTCAGGTTTACTCTGCATTGTTGCCCTAACCTGGGTAGGCGAGGCTAGCCTGATGTCATCAGATTTCACCATCACAGGGTCGTCCCTGGCTGATATTTGGTTGGGAGACGACCAAGGGATTCCGGGGTCGTGACATGGAGTTAGGCAATGGCAAACCACCTCTTACCCCTATGGGGTTGCCGTAAGCCAGCTGTGATTTGACTGCAAAAAGGAAAAAGCGTGCATAGGATTGCAGCCTACTGTTGGATGGAGTACTTAGTGCTGAAACGACATTTGCCAGACTGGAAATTATACCCGTCAGGCCCAGATTCTCACATGTGCAAGAATCGTTTATGTTTTAGGAACATTGGAATAAAATAAGAGTTTACTGGCATTTTCAAGATTTATACAATGTATTCCAGCATAAACTTTCACTAGTTCCAGCTCGCTTCATTAGGTACCTGGAGGTGTATGTTCATTTATATGCACAACAGAAGAAAGGGGGTGTTACAAAGACAGGACAGTTAAACACAAGATCCAGTCCAAAGAGTAATTGGTTCATGCAGAGTATGTGTGAGACACTCCCAACTGTTGTTATACAGGCAAAATGCAGTGTCGGTTCAAATGAGATACAATAGGAAGTCATAGAGGTATAGCTGAAATCATTAGTATCTGAAAGGGATGTTAATTACTACATTAATGCCATTTGCTTCAGCTATACCCACATCTGGCTACAGCTATCTGGGTTTTTGGACAGAGGTCTTTCATATCACCTACTACTGGGTCATTTTGGGATGCTGGGGACCTTCAGCATGTAGCATGCTAAGCCATAGTTTATCTCATCTCATCTTGCGCTAGATTTTATATTTTGTCCATTTTACAGTAGTTGGGAATGTCTCACACTCTGAATGAAATCTTTGGACTGGATCTTGTTTTCAACCAGCCTCTTTGTAATACCCCCACTCTCCTGTTGTGTATATAAATCAGCCTGGTGATTAAGTGAGGTTTGATTCATGAAATCTTATGCTAGAATACCTTTTATTAGTCTTTAGGTGCCATTGGACTGCTACAGACTAATATGGGTGTGCTTGACTGAAATTACTAATTTGTTGGGAACCTGTAGGGTTTTTCAAGGCAAGAGGCATTCAGAGGTGCATGGTATTTATATAATAACATCCTTGAGTGTTTGGAGTGTTGTCTCTGTAATCCACACAACCATGTAAGGTAGGTCAATACTATCCCCATACTATCGACAGCTCATAGGAACGCAAGGTTTGTACTGAGAGTTCTTGTTTACAATTCATTCATATGTTATTTGACTCTGTTTACTTGGAAGTAAGTTTCACTTGAATAGGGCTTGCTGCCAGGTTATGTACAGGAATGCAACCTTAGTTATGTCACTGTCGCTCTCAGAACCATCCGAGGCCAGGAAGAAACACCTGCCCTTGTTCCCAAAGGTTATTAATATTTTCATGCCCTTGGATTAACCTCTGGTGTTGAAAAACAGGTTCTGAGCTCTCATTCAAAGGCAGAAGTGCATGAAAAGGTGCCCAGTTAAGCTGGTTTCTCTGTTTTCTGTGGGTTTTGTGACCCAGCATTTTCACGTAAACTGCCCTTTGGTGCCAGTGAATGTTCAAAAACAGAGGATCCTTTCCTGTTCTGTTGTACATAGTCTCAGATGGCTGGGGGTGGTAAGCCCTTTATTAAACCTGTAGGCAGCTCACCCTATCGTAACTCCCCTCTTCCACTGCACAAAGCTCTGTTGCTGAATGTTAACATCATATTTTATACCACACACAGAAACGTGATTTATTTATATATTTATGTTATTTATAGTCTGTTTTTCTGACTGGGACTCGAGACGGATTACATAGAAATAAATCAGTACAGTCCACAAAGTGGGACATCCAAAAGGCAAAGCAAGAGGCATTTGACTTGTAGAGATCTGGAAAACCAACCAGAGGTGAAGCGCAGTATAAATATTAACATCACACATTAAATGAAAGCAAAAATTGCATAGTAGGAGACTACGTACAGCAACAGGCAGTACAAACTATACACAGTGGTATAGTCCACAGTCCTCTGCCCTCCGCCCCAGGACTTTCTATGAGCCACATCTTACAGTGCAGCCCTATTACCTGTGCAGAAAGTCCTCTTGAATAATTCAGCTTTGCATAGCTTACGGAAAGCCAGGAGGGCGGGAGCCTTTCTGACCTCTTCAGGCAGACTGTTCCACAAAGTGAATGCCTATGTACAGGCAGTTGTTGGTTTTGACTCTTTGTAGAGTGGCATCAATAGAAGGCCCTGTTCAGATGAGCAAAGCTGTTGTGGCGGACCATAGAGGGTGAGGCAGTCCAGTAGATATGAGGGACCAAGGCCATGGAAGACCTTGTATGTGACAGCCATTACCTTAAATTGAGCCTGGTAACTAATGGGCAGCCAATGCAGTGACTGCAGAATGGGAGTAATATGAATATTCTGTCCAGCTCCCAATAATAAATGAGCTGTGGCCTTTTTGTACCAACTGGAGTCCCCAGGCTAACTTTTAGGGGAGAGCTATGTGGCGTGCATTACAGTAGTCTAGTCTCCATGTATCCGTGGTGTGGATTAAGGTGGCCAGGTAGTCCGTATTGAGGTAGGGGGTCATCTTCCAGGATAGGCTGAGTTGGAAGAAGGCATTTTTTGCAGCTGCATTTTTCCCTCTAGCAGTAATGTTGGATCCAGTATAACTTCAAGGTTCTTAACTGAGTCAACAAGGGTCAGCTGAACTCCACTGAAATAATGTCCTTCAAGACCTCCACCTTTCCAAAGAGCATTACTTCTGTCTTTCCAGGGTTTCGTTTCAGTGTATTCACTCTTAGCCATTTAACCATAACAGCCAGGGAGCAATTTAGGATCTCTACCACGTCACCAGGAGATTTGGATAAGGTTCTATCTTCAACAAGGTCCACTGTGTCAAATGCAGAAGATAAATCTAGTAGGAGCGACAAGGAGGATTTTCCTATTGCTGTACAGTAGGCTAGTTTCCCTTATTCATAGGCAGTAGCAGGGAAGGATGCTCCGTCTTGAACCTTATTATCTTTGGGTGTCTAGAAAGCCTTTGTGTATTTATATAGTTGAAATATGGGTCTCATGTGGTTGCAAGCTTCTAGGTGATTAGTTAAGAAGAACCAAAATACAGCTGTGATATAATTACTCAGTGTAACCTTGTATAGTCAATTATATTGTTTACCAAGCACATTCATATAAATATATATTTGCAAAGGTTATAATGGATAAATGTTTCAAATAAACAAAGTATTCGTGCCAAAGTTCAGTTCTACTTATTTCCTTATCAATTTCTTGTTTTTTATTTATTTATTATTATTTATTTATTATTAAATTTATACCCCGCCCTCCCCAGATGGGCTCAGGGTGGCTAACAATTGAGGCACATATGCCAAGATTAAACAGGTAAAAACAGGATAAAACAAGCAATAAAACAATCATTCATATAAAAATACAAGTGCTCTAGATGTCACAAATAACTGATGGGGTCACACATGACAAAGTGGTCCCAGAGCGACACGGTAGACGCCAGGTGGTACAGCGATCCGTCCTTCCTCCCAGGGCCGTCTCGTTCCCTGATGACACCCACTCCATTTAGTGGTGGTGGTACGGTGAGGGTATAGTAATGGTGGCGGCGCCTAATCAAAAGCCTGGCGGAAGAGCTCCGTCTTGCAGGCCCTGTGGAACTGTGCCAAGTCCCGCAGGGCCCGGATCTCCTCCGGGAACTCATTGCACCAGGTAGGAGCTGCCACCGAAAATGCCCTGGTAACAGCAAATTTAATATCTTTGGGACCTGGGGTTACCAGTCGATGTTGAGTCCCCGACCATAGTACCCTTGGGGGAACATATGGGGAAAGACGGTCCCTCAGGTATGCCGGACCCTGGCCCTGGCCATTGTGTATACTTAGTCCAAGCATAGCAGCTGTCAAGGCTTCTAACGGGCCAGCTAAAGATCCTCGTTTCCATCCCTTCTCAAGGCAAACCTGGCAGTCAAACCAATCTTGTCAAATTTGTTTGTAGAATTCTGTTACACAACTTCAATCCACCTCAGTATAAAATTTTTTGTTGTAGCTTGCAAGCTACTGAACTTTGGAACAAGTACTTTGTTTATGTTACAATGTTACACTGAGTAATGATAGCACTGCTGTATTTTGGTTCTTCTTAACTGCTTTTCCCGTGATCTCTCGTATATTGCAAACTCTAGGTGATGGCTGTAGATCTCCTGAAATTACAACTGATTTCCATGCTGCGGAGATCAGTTCCCCTGGAGAAAATGGCTGCTTTGTTGAGTGGACTTTATTGCATTATACCCTGCTGAGGTCCCACCCCTTCCCAAACCCCGCCTTTCCCAGACTCCATCCACAAAATATTCAGGGATTTCCCAATCCAGGTCTGGCAACCCTAGTCTCATGCACAGAGCACCTGATTCTGCAACACAAAACAGGGGTAGGTGAAACTGAATTCTCTCTCAGCCTCTGGTTCCTGTATTTCTGCTCCAGTCTGAGTTCCGCTTGAACACGCAATGATACTTTCAGTTTCAGGACTCAGCTTGGGAAAATGTCTAGTCATACCAATGATTCTGAGTATGCACAGAACGTTTCTGATCACCACTTAGTTACCTCATTCCTACCTCCCCCCCCCCCGCAGCCCCTTTTATGAGATGGGCCTTGTGCTCTACCATGTCTTCGTTTAATAAATTAATCTCTGTCCAGTCTTCTCCCTTGAACTGTGGAAGGTTTTATGCATTCTGTCGCTTAAAAACTTACTCAGCATTGAGATTGTGTGGGGTACTGTACTGAATACGGAAGTGATACTGTTATCCCTGGCCAGAGTGTGTGTGCATGAGAGAGGGCTGTTTTAAAGGTTACACCGTGCAGGGCTCAACTCACCTGTGTGATGTTTGCAATCATTTAAACTGGGCCTGAGATGGAGAGCCAGTGTGATGAAGCTTAGAGTAGGCCAGGAAAAGAACAGAAAGGAAGAGCGAAAGAAAAAGATTTGAGGAATGTAGTCAGGACAGGGTGATTGGTGGTGGTAGTGGAAAGTCCCGTCAAGTCAAAGCTGAATTATGGTGACCCTGTGGGGTTTTCTAGGCAAGAGATGTTCAAAGGTGGTGCCTGGCTCCATGTCATGACCCTGGTATTCCTTGGAGGTCTCCCCATTCAAATACTAGGCAGGGCCGACCCTGCTTAGCTTCCAAGATCTGACAAGGTCAGGCTATCCTGGCTATCCAGGTCAGGGCACAGGGTGATTAGGAGCTTCTATACTGAGGACTAGAAACATAAAATTGATGCAAACATGAGATTAAATAGGATGAGCATGTTACAGAAGATTTGTTACATATTTGAAATTAGAGTCTTGTGCAGTTCCTCGTTTGAAATATGTACGTTTGTTTGAAATGCATTTAAAGGATAACTTTATTGTAGCACTTCTCTTTGATATGTAGTTTTCTATCTGAAAATTAGATAATGCTGATACAAAGTAATTTGCAAGTGTGAAAGGGAAGTCCTAGCACTGGGCAATGACTAGCACATGCCCTTTTTGCCTGGTCCTTTCCTCATGTGCTGCTGTTCTCTCTCTTTGGCAGATGGGCCTTCTTGGAGCTGGCCACCAATGAGAAGTATAATGACAGCCTCCAGGCCTATGCCGCAGGGCTGGCTGAAGCGGCAGTGTCTGAGCAGGTAAGAGTCAGCACACAGCAGGAGAACCAGCCCATTTCAGCAGCCTTCCCTCCCCCCCGGCCTCCCTGCTTTTGAGCCTCCCCTGCTTTTGGGCTTCCGTGGAGTTTTCAGCACTGAAACTTATGGAGGACTAAGAAATATGAAGTGGTCTCTGAACATGTGCAGAGAGTCATTCCCTTGACACTAAAAAGCCATTTTAGATGTTAACTAGAGCAGTGCAGAATATCTGTTCACTGCTCTGGATAAGGTACAGCTCCATTGGGACAGATTGTTCATTGCGTGTGTGTTTCTTGTTCTTTTGTGTGTGTTTCTTGTCCTTCTTGTTCTTTGTGTGTGTGTTTTAAAATAAACGAATTTTTTAAAAATGAAGAAAAAAGGACAGATTGCTGGGCGAGCTGCAACTGGAGAGGATTTGAGGGCATATCTTGAGATTCTTGCAACGCTGTTAATGTTCACAATTCTTACATTTCCTTTGACCTAATAAAGGAGTCGATTTATGCGGTTGCAACTTGTATTTCCTAACTTTGGCAAATGCTAACCTCACTGTCATCAACAGGTAAAGGGCTATACACTGATATGCTTGTGCTATTGAGATTGCATAATTAAGCAAGACAAGTTTAATTGATCCTCTTTGCTCAACTGTGAAACTGACAGCATACTTAAAACGATTTCCCCTAAACATTTGATGGAGTGAGCTCCCGTCTCTAGTTCCAGCTCCTGCCAACCTAGCAGTTCGAAAGCAAGAAATTGCAAGTACATAAATAGGTACCACTTCGGTGGGAAGGTAACAGCGTTCCGTGAGCCTTGGTATTTAGTCATGTTGGCCACATGACCACGGAAACGTCTTCGGACAGCGCTGGCTCTTCGGCTTGGAAACGGAGATGAGCACTGCAACCCTAGAGTCGGACAAGACTGGCTTTCGAGCAAGGGCACCTTTACCTTTACTACATAGGTAGATAGACAGCATTTGCTTGACCACAATACCAGCATTGGATGGAGCCTTTTTTTTTTTTGCAAATCCTGACAAGTCTAACCGGGGTTAGAAGCCACTGATATAACATTTTACATATGTTATCTCTAAAAAGCAATACACAAGAACCATAAGATAATCGATAGGACCAAACCCTTGGGTCTGCATAATAACCCAAGGATTCCCCCCCATTTCTCAAATTATGTTTGTGTTTTCACAAAACAGTCTCAATACCTTCCCTCTCCAGGACCAAACCCTTGGGTCTGCATAATAACTCAAGGATTCCCCCCATTTCTCAAATTGTGTTTGTGTTTTTACAAAACAGTCTCAATACCTTCCCTCTCTCCCCCGTGCGTTCCAGCTCATCTACATGCACTGGATGAACACCATGGTGGGCTACTGTGGCCCCTTCAAGTACCAAACGGACTACTGTGAGAAGCTGAAGAGCTATATTGAAACTAACCTGGCCTGGATGGAGCAAGAGATGGAGACCCAGCAAGATTCTGCGTACTGGCATCAGGTGAGTGGGGAGGAGATTCTGCTCTGTTTGTTCGTAGGCTCACATCCTAATAAAAGACACATGTAATGAAAACATAGCAATTTAGACCCAGGCTCCAAAAGAAACATCAGTACATCCAGAGATAGCCCAATACCAATTTAGAAGCCTCTGCCATGAACATCGTGCCACCCCATTCATGGATTCAAGAGCTTGCTTAAAAAGAAAACATCTTTGCAATCTTGAGAAAAACCAAATTGCTCACCTGATGTCTACAGGGAGCTGATTTCCTAAGGTGGGTGCAGTCAGTCAAAAGGCCCTGTTTTTCAGTCGCCAGTGTTACTTGGCAGCAGAAGGGGACCACCTGAATAGATTGCTCAGTTGAATTTGAAAGACATGTGGGCTCCTAGCCCGATCTCTTTTACATGCCCCAATCTCAATCCAAATCAGGCCCCCACATGCCTGGGATGCATGGAACTTCATACCTCCCCACCCAACTTGGGAACATCCCTAAGGAAAACATAATGTGCAGGAAAGCCCTTAATGATGAGAAGTGGGTGGTTTAAAATAAGGATTTTGTTTGAACGAATAAGACTGAAAGCATTATTCAGCTAAGCACAGTATGGGTTTATGCATAGAATCATAGAGTTGGAAGGGACCTCCAGGGTCATCTAGTCCAACCCCCTGCACAATGCAGGAAATTCCCCCCCCCCGTCTCCTGTTTGGTCCGCCGAAGGGGCGGGGGGGGGGGGGGGAGGCTCCAGGATCCATAGCTAAACTGGCCTTGAGAACAATTGCTTCCTGACCCCAATTGCAGTTCTGATTCATTCATAGTCTTGAACTTCCTGGTGGATTGAGCCTTATGCTAATCAGTGGGGGAGAGATTTGGATTGTCTGTCTCTGAAAATAAGGGCTTGGGTCAGTTTTGTGAGGGTGCTCTCTGCCATTTTTAATTTCTGGGTCTGTAAGTAATCCATGTGTGTCCATCCAAATTTTCAGGTTCGCCTTGCCTTGCTTCAGTTGAAGGGCCTTGAGGATGGTTACAATGGACGTGTAGCCTTCCCTTCTGGCAAGTTCTCCATCACCCCCTTTGGCTTTCTGTGAGTCTCCTCCTTGGCACATATGAGAGAAGAAAATTAGGCCTCATGGGGATGATTCACACGTGATGTTCACTGTAAATGTGCTTTGTGAATATGACAAAGAAGCTGGGGCGGGCTACAGCTCCCTTTCGAAGGTCGGTTTGGTAGCAAATGTGGGTTTGTTGCCTGCAGCATGGGTGAACTGGCTCTTAGGCTACACATTTTTTTATTATTGGCAATTAGGAATGAGGGAAAAAATTAAATTCAGGAGCAACAGGAATGAATGCTTTGTGGCTGCACTAAAGCATAACAAAGAACGGGAGACTTTTGAGTCCCTCAGGGTTCTTCTTTAGGCTCATAATCAATGGAAAAGGGAAGATGCTTTAGGCTGCGATCATACGCACAATTAGACCCACCATAGGTGCGAATGCCAGGCAGATTTAAAGGGCGCAATCAGACAACAACATCTGGGAAGCACCCCACAGCCGTCGGCAACCTGTTCTGCTCCACTGCACAAGCAGAGTTAAAAGACACCAAGGGAAATCCGGTAGAAAACGGGTTGCGACGGGCCACGGATGGACTTTCCCCTGTCTGATTGCTCCAGCGCAGTCTCATGGTGTCGGGATGATCTGATCAGGCCATCCCAACTCCGTAGCGTTGTTCTCCCCCACCCCCCCTTCTCAGTATGCACATCATCACAGACTCCATAGGGAGCCCTCAGTGCAGCGATGCGATTCATCGGTTCCTCGTTTAAGCATATCGAAAACAAATGGCCCCCAAAACCCCGACTCAACTGTGGTTGTGTCTGATCACACAGTGGCGGGCTGTTCCTGCAGCTTCCAAGGACTGTGTGATTGCGCAACTGAGGGTCAAATTCCTCCGGAGGAAATAGCCTCGCTTCCCCTCCGTTTTTTCTGGCACGTGTGACGTCAACCTTAGATCATGATGAAGAAGCCCCAACGTTATGCCTTGGACATCTTTTTATGGCCCCTCACCCCATTTTAAAACAGGCTATCTAGCCTGAAGAAGAGTTGTGTAGAACTTAGAAGTTTGCTCACTACGTTGTGGTGATTAGCTGGCCATAATAATAGGACCAACATTGTAGTTGCTTTTGGATTGATATTTCTAATGGACTAAATGTTCATGGGTTTTAGGAATTTCAAGTAACTTTCCTGGAACTCAGGGGTGGAGATTTCTCCCCTAGAGCAAAAAGAGGGGGACCCTTTGAATGCAGGCAAAGAGGGAGTGGTTGAGTTTCTTCTTAAAGCAAATTAAGCCATTGTTCTGCCAAGGTCAGTATAGAGTCTTCTGACTGCCAGTGGTTCCCCAGGGTCTTAGGTTGAGGTATTTAATCTAATCTGTTAGCTGATCCTTTTAATGAGAGGCATTGAGGATTAGTCCTAAGGCCTTCTTTGTGCCAAGCAGATGCACTATGGCTTCGCCATTTTTCCATTTCCAGCTGTTGGGTAATTGTCAGGGGAACAGACGGGCTGGGCCTTTGAGACTACAGAATCTGTTTTATCTCTGATCTAGGGAACAGTCAACATAAACATCTCCCACCAGTGTGTGATAGGAGAAGAGCTTTATTGTTGGGGAAGAGGGCAGGTCTCTTACTCCAGATCTTTGGTTCTTTTCCACTAGCTTGTTCCAGCTGGGGGGCGATTTGGAAGACCTGGAAGCGGCCTTCAATAAATCGGACAGCCAGCGTGTCCTTGGCTCTGGTTCCTGCTCGGCCTTGATCAAGCTGTTGCCTGGCAACCAGGACCTCCTAGTCTCCCATGACACGTGGAACACCTACCAGTCTATGCTACGCATCATCAAGAAGTACACCTTGCTATTCCGGACTTCTGCTCAGAGTGAGTAGCAGGAAGAGGGGAAGGAATAGGGATGGGGAAGTCAGTGCTTTTCCTGTGGAGATTAGAGATCAGGGATTAATCCAGAGGATGCCGAAAGGTCTAAACAAGTCTCACTTTCCTCCTTGTGTTTACAAAAAGGTCGCATTGTCTGAAAGGACAGTGGAATCTTGCAATCTTGAAGCTGTGGGAAGCCTGTGGAGCAGAATGGCTGGAATCTAGAGATCCAGTGTGTCATAGTGGTTTGAGTGTTGGACTAGGCTCATAGAGGCCTGGGTTCAAATTCACCCTTGCCATAAAACTTGCTGGGTTATTTTGGTTCAGTCATTTGCTCTCAGCCTAAACATATCTCACAGGGTTGTTGTGAGGGGAAAATGGAGGATGGTGTCAGGTTACCAACCTCCAGGTAGGGCCTGGAGATCTCCAAGAATTAAGATCTCCAGACTACGTAGATTTGTTCCCCTGACGAATATGTTGTACACGAAGAAAAATCACTTCATGATGTTTTTATTCTTTTCACAGCAGACGTCAACAGGATGAACTCTCTTTTTCACACCATGATCTCAGTTCCGAAAAGCTCTTGGCAACAGAATACATCAGTCGGGCGAACGAGCTTTTGAATATTCTGCACGGAACTGGAAAAAGCCCTGTGGAGCAGAATGGCTGGAATCTAGAGATCCAGTGTGTCATAGTGGTTTGAGTGTTGGACTAGGCTCATAGAGGCCTGGGTTCAAATTCACCCTTGCCATAAAACTTGCTGGGTTATTTTGGTTCAGTCATTTGCTCTCAGCCTAAACATATCTCACAGGGTTGTTGTGAGGGGGAAATGGAGGATGGTGTCAGGTTACCAACCTCCAGGTAGGGCCTGGAGATCTCCAAGAATTAAGATCTCCAGACTACGTAGATTTGTTCCCCTGAAGAATATGACAGCCCCTAAAGGTGGACTTTATGGAATTAGACCTGCTGAAGTTCCTCCCCCCCCGGCTCCCCTCCCAATCTCCAGGAATTTTCCTGCCAGGAGTTGGTAACCCTAAGGGTGGGAGAGAAGCATGTCTGTCACGTTGGAGGAAGGGCAGGATAAAAATGCACTAAATGAATAAAAATGCACTAAATGAATAAATAAATCCTAAGAATGATGCCATTACGCTCCATCGCAAATCGTTTTGGAAACTGAAGAGACTATCAAAAGCAATTTGTTATCTGAAATCTTGGGGGATGATTGCTTTTTTAAAAGGCAGAAATCCTTGGGCATGCCCAAGCCCTTGAACACACCTAACATAACTTTTTTGATTCTGGCAATAAAACTTCCGTGTGCATACTACTGCTAGTGTTCAAGTACTTGATGGACATCGTGTGCTGGGTAAGAGCTGGGGATTACAGTGACCTCGTTCCATCCTTCAAGGCAGGTGCCTGGAATGCGTCTCATTGCCAGATGGCTGCTAATGGCAGTTTGCAATTGGCCTTTGCAGGTGACACCGTGATTCCTGGCTACACCCAGGCTTTCTCCTCATATCCAGGCACCATTTTCTCGGGAGATGACTTCTACATCTTGAGTAGTGGCTTGGTGAGCAGTGTCTTCCTTTGCCTCCCCTTCTGTGCTGTCTTGGACGGGGTCGGGGCTGCCTTGTCCATTGGCTTTGCGATAGCTGTCGAATCTGGGCTGGATGAGAGAACCTTGAGCTGGACCTTATTCTGGGGCCTACGTCTCTGTCCTCCAAGGCTTTTGCTTTCCTTCTGCTAGAATTCATGTAAAAGGAGTTGGTGACTAATAATACTAGAACTTAGTACTTGGTGGTTCATACATATTTTAAGGTTTACTGAGACAGCAGCCATTGGGGTAGGAAAGATAAACCACTTGGTCACTTAGATTTGATTCTGAGGTGACCAAGAGAGTGATTGTTTAGTAGACTGAGGTGAGATTTGGACTGAAGCCTTCCTGGTTCACATTCCAGTTGATTCTACAGGGCAACCGTACCATCATTTTCACCGACAGTGTGTTGGCCAGGGTGTGCGTCAACTGTCGAAGGGGAGACTAGTCTTAGATTGCTCCCTCAGGAGTCCACACTTCTTCTGGACAGAGCAGAAATAATTTCCACTAAATGATGTGGTAGCACCTGTAGGGTCTTTATAGCATTAAGGTGGGCTGGTTTAGTCACCATGACGTAAGAAAGTGAAGCTTCGGCCCCCCACCCCAAGTATCATGGTCTGTCATCCAGAGGTTCATTCTGCCAATCTTCTACCTAGCGTTGCCAACCTCCAGGTGGTAGCTGGAGATCTCCTAGGGTTACAACTGATCTCCAGCTGACAGATTAGCACACCTGGATAAAAAAGCCACTTTGGAAGGTGGATCCTATGAGATCATCCCCCACTGAAGTCCCTCCTGTCCCTCCTCAGGCTCCACCCCGCAAATCTCAAGGTATTTCCCAGGTGGAGCTGGCAGCCCTACTACCTCTTCACCACACCAGAACGAGTTTTCTCTCCATATTTCCATTGAAAGGTATGGGGGATGGGACGGGACGTGGACACACTATTGGCAGGCTAACCTCCCCCAGACTCATATTTTCCACTACTCCCCTCCTTGCTAAAGCATTGCAAAGGGCACACTTGTTTCTTTTAAATGATTATTTTGCTACCCAGCCTTCAAAGCAGCTTACAGATGATAAGGTAAATTAACAGTAGAATCCAAATTCACTCACTTAAAGAGAAATAAAAATATGAGAACCAAAAAAGGTTCCCTTGCTCGAAAGCCAGTCGAATCCGACTCTAGGGTTGTGGTGCTCATCTCCGTTTCAAAGCCGAAGAGCCAGCGCTGTCTGGAGACGTTTCCGTGGTCATGTGGCCGGCATGACTAAACACCAAGGCACACGGAACGCTGTTAACTTCCCACCGAAGTGGTACCTATTTATCTACTTGCAATTTCTTGCTTTCAAACTGCTAGATTGGCAGGAGCTGGAACTAGAGACGGGAGCTCACTCCGTCATGCGGCACACTCGGGTCTTGAACTGCTGAACTACTGACCTTCCACAGCCTGCAGTTCAGCGTCTTAACCACTTGAGCCACCGCAGCTCCATAAGAACCAAAACTAAATTTAAAAAAAAAACACTACACAAAATACCAGAAGTAGCAGGAAATTACAAAGAACTGTATCAGTATATATGAAATACTTCTTGGGTAAATGAGTCAAGCTGACACCAAGTAAATATTTCTGGGGAAGGCATTCCATAAGTGGGGTACCACCGCCAGCACAGTGGAGAAAACAGGGCCAATAACAGCAAGGTGCTTCTCAGTAGCCTTCTGAGGTAGAATTGTTTGGACCAGACACCTAAAGGCAAATGGAAAGGGAGTGAAATGAGCCTGCTTGTGGAAGAAATACCACAACCTGCTTGGAACTTCTGTCTCTGCAGGTGGCTCTGGAAACCACAATTGGGAACAGCAACAGTGATTTGTGGAAGTACATCCAGCCCAAGGACAGTGTTCTGGAATGGCTACGCAACATAGTGGCCAATCGGCTGGCCACGAGTGGAGCAGAGTGGGCGCTTCTCTTCAAGCAGTTCAACAGCGGCACGTGAGTGAAGTGCTGCATGTGTGTGCGTAAGAAATAGAGTGATCTTTCGGGGCTTCTGCTGAAGAGCCACAAGATGGGTGTAGAGCAGCCAGAAGCTTTTTTTAATGGTGGCATTTGCTCAGGCAGGTGAGGGAAGGCGGCACGCTATAGTCAGATCTCAAGAGCTAAGCAGGGCCAGTACTTGGAAGGGAGACCACCAAGGAAGACGCTGCAGAGGAAGGCAATGGCAAAGCACCCCTGCTTCTCACTTGCCTTGAAAGCCCCTTGGCTGGAGTCACCATAAATCATTGCGGCTTGATGACACTTACGTAAATGACAGTTGTTCAGGCAGCCGCACAGGGGCAGCCCAACACATTTTATTAACCCCAGCTGCTCCGTCCCAAGTCACCTTGTCCCCGAGACTCTGAAGGCTACTCTTCTTTGATTTGGATCTAGGTGACAGGGTCATGGAGGAGGTGATGAGAAGTGTGAGCTGCACCCTTCACCATCCCTTACCCAGTACCAGTTTTTGCACCCTATCCATTTGCATCTCTTGCATGGGTGAACCACCCTTTTGGCAGTGTAGCACAGGTAGAAAGACTTTGGCATGCTGTGGGCTTGTGGCTGTTATCCTCAGCATCATCCTTTATTGCAGTCAGGGTTCCGCACAGCAGCTGCATAGGTAGTGCAGCCTGTAACCAAGGCTGTGTCCATTCTATGCTAAGAAATATTCTTCACCCAACCAGTGGAAAATTCTGCACCTAGGAAAGCTGAATTCTACGCCGAGTTGGATCCAGGCTAAATTTTACGCTCACGTCAGGCGTGTCTGTCAGTGGAACAAAATGTTCTTGCCACCCCCCACCCCCTGCAGAATTCCAGGAGATCCTCCTACCTCCACCTGGATGCCGGCAACCTTAATTTAAGGTCACTGGGTGACCTTGGGCCAGTTGGTCTGCAGCGGGAAGATGGAATTGGTAGACATTACCCCACCCCTTCCAATAGTGGAAAATTTTGTCTGAATCCAACTCCTAGCCTAGATTATGCAAATGTGTGTGGTTTTGGTTTTGCATAATTCTGATGCACTCGCTGTTTTGCGTAAACCAGTTTTGGTAGTTGTGGGGAGGGGCAGGGAGCTGTGTGGGGCTCTGAAGCCCTGCCCCAGCCACTCCTGTGGTTTCGGACAAGTAAATGGACCTTACCCATATGCTTTCAAATGCATCTTCTCAGCCTCTAGAGCTAGAATCTTTCTTTTAAAAGTAAAGAAAGCCAGGATTCTTGGTAGACTGAATTCTGCACTTACAAGTGCGTCCCACATTTTTCTTGCTCTCTTGCAGAATCATGGAACATGTTTACCTTGCCTGTAGCCTATTATAGTTTAGTATTTCAATCCCTGATCAGCCTGTGGTTTTGCTGGAGAAGGAAATGGAATAGGGTTGGGCTGTTCCCCCAGTGATCTGCGGCCAGGTCCCAGCTCAGCAGATAGTCAGGTCAGAAATGGGAGATTTTTGGCTAAGTTAAACTTGCAGAGATGTTTTACTGTAGAAGTGAGGAATTGCTTTTTGTATACATTGGGTATGCTGCATCTGACCCCTACTGGATGCCGGGGTCTATTTCTGCCCTTTCACACTGAAAACTCTACAAAGAAACTGAAACAGAGATATGTTTTCACTAAGATTGAAAGACTGAAGGAAAGGCAAAAAAAATCTGATACCAGGAATCAAACAAAACAAACATATACCTAGTACATATCGTATCATCTGACATATTGAATTTCGGGGCCAAACTAGATGTGATCTGACTCAAGCCCCAGCACACAAGCAATCTTTGTTTCAGGACAGTAACAAATCTAGTATCCTAACGTCTAACATATCAAATCTAAGGGCTGAACTAGACATAGCGGGCCTTGGCACACCAGCGAACTCTGTATGAAGATAATCGCATTTGGCTGTAGACTGATATGTCAGGTCAGAGGGCCCAGCCATCAACTGTGATGTCTCCTTCAGCCTTTGTACATCTCCTCCCTTCCTGTCTGGTTTTGGGACTTTGGCCCGGGGTCAGGTCTGGGCTCAGAATGTATTTACCTTAGGTTCCATCGGTTGCTGATCCCTAATTTAAATGCATCGTGCTTCCCAACATTCACCTGTTGTCATTTTTTTTCACAGGTACAATAACCAGTGGATGATTGTGGACTATAAGTCTTTCATCCCGGGCAAGTCCGGTCTCCAGAATAGGAGACAAATGATGCATTAATCTCTCTCTCTCCCCCCATGCCCTTAATCTGAGTGCTCGCAAGCCACATCCCCAAAATCTCATGGCAAATGCAGCGTAAAAAAAGAAGAAGTTAGGTTTATGTTTCACTCTTCACACTCTCACTTGTTCAAGTTCATGGATTTTGTTTACTTTTCTCATGTAGTCCTCTAGTATGCGGCGGAGATAATAGTCTCCTCATAAACTCTGCTCTCTGTGTCCCCACCTACAGAGCTAAGGTGGGTGGCAGCCAGACAGGAGTAAGGTAATTTGGGGGATTGCATCTTGTCTGTGGAATACCTTCCCTCTTGAAACTCACCTAGTGCCAACCCAACTCTCTTGTTTGGTGTAGTGGTTAAGAACATGGACTCTGATCTGGGAGAACCAGGTTGGATTCCCCACTCCTCCACATGCAGCTGCTGGGTGACCTGGGGTCAGTCACAATTTCTCTCAAGAGCTGTTCTCTCAAGAGCAGTTCTCAGTCAGTCCCACCTACCTCACAGGGTGTCTGTTGTGGGGAGAGGAAGGGAAGGAGATTGTAAGACGCTCTGAGACTCTGAGTGAAGGGCAGAGTTTAAATCTTCTCCTTCTCCACTGTGTAGGTCACATCCGCCCCCAGCTTCTTAAGTGCATTCAGTTGCAGATAAGCAGTTAGCCACAAGGCTGAACAGATTATCATTACTAATAATGAGGTTAACTATTGTGGCAAACGGGGGCAGACAGCCCTTCTTCCTCAAGAGTTAGAATCATTGAGCCATTGCTTTACAAACACTAAGCAACGCGAACCATTTTACATCCATTTTGTACTACCAGATATATTTCTCTTGGATGGGTAGAATGGGATTGGGTGTGTAGGGGTTGGGAAACTAAGCACAGTCTGGTGGGGTTGGGGTGGGAGGGTGGGGATCGAGATTCCAGGCAGGCCGAGACCAGAAAAAAGATGGGAAAGAGAAATGGTTAGTAGGTATATGAAAAAAAATGTAAATATTATATGTACAACTCTTAATGTGAGAGGGTTGGGGAATCCCGTGAAAAGGGCAAGAGTGGGAAGATATATAAGTGAATTAAAAGCTGATGTGGTTTTTTTGCAAGAGTTACATAAGGGGGGGGAGAGAGAGGTGAATTTTCCTGGCTTTGGGAAAGGAAAGAAATTTATTGCCTCAGGCTCCTCGAAAAGTAGAGGGGTGGGAATAGTAATAAACTCCAAAGTTGACTTTGTTGAGGACAAAGTATTAAGAGATAAGAATGGAAGGTTTATTTTTGTTCAGGGACACCTGGAGGGAGAGCCGGTGGTTCTAGCTTCTATTTACCTCCCTAATGTGCACCAGCTGAATGTATTTTATAGGTATTTGCAAAAGTTGGATAATTTTTCGCCTCACACGAAGATAGTAGGGGGTGACTTTAATATTAATTTGCAAGGGAAAGGTGGTTGTAAAAAAGGAAAAGAAGCGAAATTTAAAAGAATGTGTGGGAAATTTGGATTATTGGAACTTTGGATGGAAATGTATCCTAATGATGATTCATATTCATTTTATTCTGGTGCTCATGGAACTTACTCAAGATTGGATGGTATTTTAATTTCTCAAGAAGTTAAGAATTGGGTTAAAGATATGGATATTGGAATGATTAAGATTACAGACCATGCTCCTGTTTCTGTCTTTTTGCAAGTAGGTCATTTTAATAGGCCTTATAGCTGGAAATTTAACCCATGGTTAGTCGCAGATGAAGTAAGCAAGAGTAATATTAAAGAAGCAATAGAAAGATATTTTGTGGAAAATAGAAATTTAGAGACTTCATTAACAACAACATGGGAAGCAATGAAAGCTACTATTAGAGGAGTGTGTGTGCAGAATTTAGTGAGATTGAAGAAAGGTAAAGATAGGAAGATTAAAGAAATAGAAGAAGAAGTTAGGATATTGGAGGAGAAATTTAGGAAATCCAAGAATAGGAAGGATAGGGAACAAATAAATAGGAAAAGAGAAGAGATGAATGTCTTAGATGTTAATAGGACTATTTTGAAACTATGGTATAGTAAACAGAAGTACTATGAGTTTGGAGGGAAAGGAGGGAAGATATTAGCAAATAAAATTAGGAATTTTCAAGTAAGAAAGAATATAAGAGCGATTAGGGATGATAAAGGGGTGTTGGAAACGGAACCTAAAAAGATATTGGAGAAATTTGTAGACTTTTATAATAAATTGTATGCAAATAAGGGAATTAAAAATTATGATATAGAACAATTTTGTAAGGAAATAGAACTCCCAGAATTGAGTGAGGAACATAGGAAAGAACTAGATAAGATGATAACTGAAGAAGAAGTTAAGATGGTAATAGAATCTATGAATGGGCAATCTGCACCTGGACTGGATGGGTTTAATGCGGTGTTTTATAAGCACTTTAAGGATATATTGGTGCCACATATGACTGAATTGTTTCAGGGAATTTTGGATGGATCTACTACCCCACCTACATGGCTGGAGTCGAGGTTGGTGCTAATTCCTAAACCGGGGAAAGATAAGACTTTAAGGGATTCATATAGGCCAATTTCTATTACCAATATGGATTATCGAATATTTGCAAAACTTATGGCAATGAGACTCAAAAAATGTATAATACATTTGATAGGGAAAGATCAATTTGGGTTTATGCCTCAGAAGTACTTGGTAGAGGCGGTTAGGAAGGTGATGGGAATGGTCTATTTAGCTAAAAATAAAGGGGTGCCTCTTGCGCTTTTGGCGTTGGATATATATAAAGCTTTTGATTCGGTTGATTGGACATATATGAAAAATATATTTCAAAAGTATAAATTCGGGGAGAAATTTCAAAATATGATAGAGGCAATATATACTAAGTCTAAGGCGATGGTAGGAGTTGGTGGATTAGCAGAGAGGTTTGTCCAAGTAATGAGTGGTACGAAACAGGGGTGCCCACTATCCCCCATGTTATTTATTTTGGCATTGGAACCGTTGGTGCTTAAATTAAAAAAGAATGAAGAAATAATAGGTTTTGAAGTTCCAGGAAAAGGGAAAGTGGATGGGAATCTTTTAACATTGTATGCAGATGATATGATGGTGACAATTAAGGATCTAGAATCTGCAGCAGTACCACTAAAAAAGATATTACAGGAATTTGAAGAGGTGTCAGGGTTAAAAGTGAATTTCTCAAAATCATCAATGATGTGTTTTAATGTCAAACCGAATATACAATTATTGGCTTCTAAAACTTTGGGTATCCCCATAGCAAATAAAATGGTGAAGTATTTAGGGGTAAATATTCCTAGAAATGGGAAAAAAACATTTGAGTATAATTACAAAAGAATTTGGAGTGGAATACAAGCCAAAATGAGAGAATGGGGGAAGTGGAAAGATTCGATTAGTACAAGAATTGCGATGGTTAAAATGTTTTTAGTTCCTAGGCTGACTTACCTTTTTTATGTATTACCTTGGCATATACCAGTATATATATTGAAGAGGTGGCAAGGAGCTATAGATAGATTTGTGTTTGCATCTAAGAAACCAAGGACAGCTGGTAGGTATAGGTATTATGGAATAAAAGATGGGGGATGGGGGATTCCCAATATTAGTATTTATTATGATGCATATCAACTAAGGCATTTAATGATTTGGTTGGAGGGAGAGTTAGGAGAGGATCTTGGTTGGATAGAGCGGGAAAATTTAGAGGTGGTAGGAGGAAAGGAAAGTTTGTTTGATAGGAAGAATAGGAAGAGGAAGATAGGTAATGAATTATCGACATTTCTGGGGCCTTATATGGTGTGGGAGAAGTGGAAAAAAGAGCTTACTCCGGGGATATCACCTCTTACAAAAATGTGGTATTATGATAAATTTACCCCATTGAGGGGATCAATGTCAAAGGAAATAGGAGATGCATTAAAAGAAATTAGTATTAAGGAGTTAAAAAAGATATGGGGAACAGACGGGATGATGGAAGAAGAGAATATTGTGTTGAATAAGATGAATTGGTTGCAAAAAAGTCAGATTTCCTCATTGCTGAAGGAAGAAGAAATTAATCAGATGGGGAAGAGAATTACTACTCCGTTTGAAAAATTGGTGAGAGAATATGGGAAAGATAAGGCAAAAATAGTGTCAAAATTGTATAAGGTATTATTAGTCATAGGGAAATCACCGAGAGAAGTTTTGAAGGAATATTGGGAAACAGATCTTCAATGTAAAATTTTGGATGAAGAGTGGGATATGATTTTTAGGTTACCTCCTTTCGTTGCAACGTCTAGGGTAATACAGGAGCAGGGTTTGAAGATGATACAGAAATGGTATTATACACCGGTTAGGCTGAGCTATATTTCGAAATTGGGGAGTAAAAATTGTTGGAGGAAATGTGGAGAAGTGGGAACGTTCAGTCATATGTGGTGGGATTGTCCTTTGGTAAAGAAATTTTGGGATCAGATTAGTATGGAAATGTTGGGGATTGTGGGAAGGAGGGTTGGAATATCTAAAGCAATGGCACTTATTAGTTTGGATGGTATCGGGTTAAGGGTGAAAGAAGAAGGTAAATGGATAAATTTGATGTTAGTAGCAGCAAGACAAGTGATTGCAAAGAATTGGAAGGATGCTCAGGAACTGACGATTAATCATTGGAGGGAAAAAATGAATAATATAATAATTTTAGAGTATCTTACAATGAAGATACGTAGAATGAATGGGTTAAAGGTTAAAGACCAAGAGGAGGTCTGGTTTAGAAGGATGGCGGGGTATATGGGAAAGTTTAAAAAATTTGGGGTGATTAGTCAGTTAATAGGAACTTGAGAGGTTAATTTGAGTATAAGATTATTATGGAAGGGTATTAGAGTATTAGAGTTGTACAGAGTTTGATTGGGATATAACAATGTATGGAATTCTTTTTGATGTCTCAAATGCCTGGAATTTGCACTAGGGTGGTGTTGGTGTTGGGTTGTTTTATGAAATAAAAAATTTTATTAAAAAAACAAAACAAAAACAAACATATACAAATCTAGTACATATCGTATCATCTGACATATTGAATTTCGGGGCCAAACTAGATGTGATCTGACTCAAGCCCCAGCACACAAGCAATCTTTGTTTCAGGACAGTAACAAATCTAGTATCCTAACATCTAACATATCAAATCTAAGGGCTGAACTAGACATAGCGGGCCTTGGCACACCAGCGAACTCTGTATGAAGATAATAGCATTTGGCTGTAAACTGATATGTCAGGTCAGAGGGCCCACCCATCAACTGTGATGTCTCCTTCAGCCTTCGTGCATCTCCTCCCTTCCTGTCTGGTTTTGAGACTTTGGGCCGGGGTCAGGTCTGGGCTCAGAATGTATTTATCTTAGGTCCCATCGGTTGCTGATCCCTAATTTAAATGCATTGTGCTTCCCAACATTCACCTGTTGTCATTTTTTTCACAGGTACAATAACCAGTGGATGATTGTGGACTATAAGTCTTTCATCCCGGGCAAGTCCGGTCTCCAGAAGGGTGTGCTGACGGTCCTGGAGCAGATTCCGTGAGTGTTCTGAAAGATATCTTCTTTGCAAGATTGCCTGCTTTGCTGTCTCTCCGCCCTTTAGAAGTGTGGCCCTTCCTGCAGTGTTTTGCTTCAGTCATGTCTCCTCCTGCTTCCTTCCTGCATGGTCTAGGCTGCCTGGAAAAGCCCCTCTTATTCCAAGATTCGTTTGTGAGCCCTGAGGTCAAAGCCTTAATCTTGGATTCCCCATGAGAAGTTCAGATATGTGTGGTTTCTGATCTCCAAATGTGGAAAGTGCTGAGGAGTCCTATGGGGTGTGGAAAAGTGCAGAGGCAACTAGCTGGTTTCCTTTGAACTGGGGATCTGGCCAGTTTGGTGTAGTGGTTAAGAACATGGACTCTGATCTGGGAGAACCAGGTTGGATTCCCCACTCCTCCACATGCAGCTGCTGGGTGACCTGGGGTCAGTCACAAGTTCTCTCAGAGCTGTTCTCTCAAGAGCAGTTCTCAGTCAGTCCCACCTACCTCACAAGGTGTCTGTTGTGGGGAGAGGAAGGGAAGGAGATTGTAAGACGCTCTGAGACTCTGAGTGAAGGGCAGAGTTTAAATCCAATCTGTTCTCCTCTCTCTCCTCTCTCATTCCCCTGAGGGTCATAAAGGTCCAAAGTTTTCTAGTTCCATTTTGCCAGACCACAAACCATTGCCGTTTTATCACCTGGACTATTATTTTTGTGCGGGTCAAACTTTAGCCAAAATCCCTGAGGGGCTGGTTCTTTACTTCTTAGACACCTGCTTAGTGGAAGCACCTGAATGCAATTCAAGCCAGGCCTTTGAGGCCACCAGTCCTAATT